GGCTAATGATGACTATCAATATGCCTGCCATTTGAAATAAGTATAAATAAATAATTTTTTATAAACATGCATTTATTTTCCCCTTTCCATTTGGAGAGAAAGGCGATTTGATGAAATGAAACAACTGATGATAACATTTATTATTATTATTATTATTTCAATAATGCAGGGCATGGTGACTATAAGTAGGGAGGTGGGAAGAACACATGACTAGTATATTTAGTAAGAGAGACGGGGATAAATTAAAAGATAAGTGAGGCGCGCAAACCACGTTGGGGTGTAAATGAAGGGAGAGGGAGAGAGAGAGAGAGCAAGGAGACGAAGTAGAGGGGGGGGGGCGAGAGTAGTGCTAGTGATAACCGGTGATTGGATAATGCAATTTGGAATTGGATGGAGATGTTACCTGACTTCTTGAATCGCGTTCCTACATTAATGCGCACTTCTAGAAGTTGAAAAGGTAATGCGATCAGTAAAAAACAACACCTCAATCCCCCCCCCCCCCCCCCTCCCCATTAAAAAATCCCGAAACAGTGCTGATATAATGAATTAAGGACATTTTGATGATTTGCAAATATGAAATTATAACAAATCGGGAGAGAGGCTGTGGGAGTGAGGGCTATAATTCATAAAAGTGGTACAAAATCTTGTTTATTAGCGTATTTTCATCTCTCTACCACGTCCGAATGCAATACTTTTTCATATTCTAACAAGAATTCCAATCTAATTTTACGTTGCATCTACCCTACGATCGAAATAATTACAACGAAGGTGTTCAAAACAGTTTCCCTACGCGGTTCGATTCCAGGTTAATTCTGTTTAACAGGACAGGTGGTGGGAAATGAATAGCTTATTGGGGGTCAAGCGTTATGATCACTACTGGCTGTGGAGATTTCCCTAATTAACTCTTTTTACTCAAGGTGGGTAAGGAACAACCATATAAAAAATATCGAGATGATTTGCTATTCAAGTACGTGTCAAGTTAAGGACAGATTATGAAGCTCGGAAATTATTTGAAATCTCATTATGGGAGATTTTTAAGTTGAAATCAATACACTGTGTTATGGTGACATTTGAGTTTATATAATGACTAAGTACGGTAGGCACTTCAAGTCATGTTTATACAGATTAACAACTCATCGGTCAAAATAGAGTCAATCTAAACATCACGTTTGAAGGCACCTTCTCCCAACAGATTTCATTTAAACAAAACTTATAATTAGGTGATATTTAGTATTGATCACCTACCTCATCAGATTGTAAGCTTGAATGTGAACGAGAAAAACGAGCAGCAGTACCAACAGTCTCCCGGGTGATTTGGCAATTCGCCTGCTCCTGAAAGACACGCACATCAAATAAACACAATAATCGATAATCAATAAAATTGACAATTAAAATCTACATCAAAGCTCAATTTGCTGTATCAATAGACGTACATGTCTCAACTTCGTTATCAATTTATCGATACTGGACATTTCAATTGATTTAAAAGACGAGAAAAAATTCCAGGGGCAAAATTGGCCTCGAAATCGTTTTCGCGTGTTTAATTCGTAATTTGACAACGACTTTAAAACGACACGTGATTGGTCTTAGCAACCTTGCCTTCCTTTCACGTTATATTTGCTAATACTCCTTTTATTTTTCGTCCACAGGCCATGACAAAAGTGACAAAATGCTTCCCCTCTTCAACTCGCATCTTAATTTGTAATGAAGGGACATTTTGCGAAGTAAAGTCTACTCAGTTTGGGCACAGTGGAGTCGATAAATAAAATTATAATCATCTCTCATTACAACACATCTGCAGAAGTCTTTTTCCTAGTACTCGAAGCCATATGGCATTACAAATGGAACAGGAGAAGAGATGAGTTTCAGAGCTAATAGGTTTCGGTTTCTAAGATGAAAATGGTAGCATTCTCGAAAAGATCTGAAATTTTTAACCAATAAAATGCCAAACCAACTGCTTTCGTTCGTCTATTTTTGATGCTAATTAAGACAACCCAGACACTAAGACACGGCATACCTTACCTTTTTAGAGTTTTTCTACGCTGGCTTTGCCTGTAGTTTAGACACCAGATGAATTGATATTAAGTGTGATACCACAATGACTCTTGGTTATCTAGGCATCTGACGCGGTATCTAATCGATTTGAAAACAAGCTGCTAATTGGCCTTGATTCGTTTGAATTAGGTCAAATCAACACGAAATTATCCAGACCTTAGCAAAGTGCACACTTCAAAAAGTACAATAAAATATCTCTCAAACACTTCGCTTTAACGAATAGTGACAACTAGTTATTATACTTACCTCTTTATCAGCATTAATTAGAGAGAAAGTTATATTGGCGCCCATTTTGAAGCTCTGGTTTTTCATCACCAAATCTTTGGGTGGATCATTTGTAGCACCAGCGTCACTGTTCCAAATCTAAAACAAGAAGAAGCAGCATACTTTACAATGGCGTCTGGGCCTTTGGTCAAGGTTTTACATGATGCAAGTACCTTCAATGACACAATTTATAGAAAGAAAAGATGCAAAAATGTAGCTAACCCTCCCTATGGGAAAAAATCTATTCAGCTCCTTGCAGAGAAATGAGTACTCCCACTTGCCAATCCACTCACTGCTCAATGTCCATATGACCTTAGAAAAATGGCTCCACCACAATTGAAAGCGCTCAGTCTCCACCCCTTCAAAGCCCCCCCCCCCCCCCCATGTAATTAAAACAGCCGTCGAGCTCTAGAGAGAACGAACGATCAACAATAAATCCAATTACGCATACCACCTCTTGACTTCCATCTCGTGTTCGATAATGGTCAGTCACCGCTGCCCAAGTAGATCGCGCCGTCCTATAGTTGCGTTGAAGGCATCAATCCAGTTATTACCAGAGCGAAAAATTATTTCCATGGTTGAGCTTTGCAACAAGCCACTGCGTAATTGCCAATGAAACTTGAATTATAAAGTGTCGCAGCATATCCGTTGAGGCAAACAGCTCAAGTGACCAAGTTAGGCTAATTTTTGTCGTTTAATTCCACCACCTTATGGGAATTGGTATGAGAGCACTCAATTTTCAAAAAAAATCATTATAGCCAGAAGTTGGAATATAGTTACGAGTGTTTTTCAATTCTATTATAATAACGACTTTAATTGGAGGAAATCAAACTTCCACTTTTGAATCAAGCACTGAAGTGAACTCTCCTTTCGTTTTTAGCCACAATCACTGGAAAATGAAACTCTTGAAAGGTAATTAAGTTACCTTTAACTAAGTCTTTGCAAACTACTGAGCTCATATTGACCAATCCCGTACTAGGTGACTTAAAACTTTCGCTCCCGAAACCTCCAATACCTCAACCCACGTGGCACCAATAGCGAAACAGCCAAAAGGTTTGTTTACAAAAAGAACGCCTTTCAACCACTTTATAACTCAGAAGTGATTTTTTCCCATTTAAAATTGAAGTTACACATATATTTGTTTGACAAAAGTCATTTTTTATTTACCTGACATGAGGCTCCGGGTTTAAGAATGAGGGACCGAGGAAACTTGAAGGTAACTCCATGGCCGTCAACAGTCTGTTTTAGAGTCCAGTTTCCTATGTTGGTATCCTAAGAGCAAAAAAACAGACGAAATGTACTTTTATGGGGTGCATTAATTAACGATAAAACTATTGCCTGCAGCAATATTTTCCATTAAATAAAAAAATGAACATTTCAGAAAATGGCAAACATTTTAAATATTTCCTCGTGACTAAGCAGGCTCTCAGATGTAAGCATTAATGAAGTTGAATATTTTCTAGAATAGTTATATTGAACCATGGTTGTATTTGGCAAGAATATGAGGCATTTTAGTCGATGTAGCAAATATGATTCGAGAAATGCTTAGTCATCCGAAGTAGATTAAAGATTTGAGAAGAGGTAAGCTCAATTTTTAATGTTGAAATCAACTATTTCTAATCTTATGCATCGCCTACGAAGGAAGGTATTCAGTTTAACTTGTAACCTACATTTACTGAAATTTGTAAAGGGTAGATGTAACATTACAATGTATGACCTCATTGGCATTGGGAAAAGCATAGGGGCTGTGACCTTCGATGGTTCGATGGAAGACACTCTACAGCAGCTTTTAGGAAATATTCACAAGCTACTAGCCCTCCTCTTGAGAAGAAATAACCGGTACAGTCAGCCAGCTACATCATTGAAAGTGGACCAATGAGCTTTTTCCCTGTAATTTCTAACTTAGAAGATGTTCATATCGACCCAATGAGGCACTTCTATTACATGAACGAGTGCAACTTGTAGAAGTATGTTAATATATGTGATCCAGTCAGGGCGTTCTATCTGAGGGAGCACCATTCAAGTTTAGAAACTTGCGCAGTTCCAAATGCGGGCTTCCTTTAGCTACGAAACTAATTAGAAATGAAATCGATATTTCTTGATTAAGAAATGAATAGAATTCTCCATTTTTTTGGAATTCATGGAAATTGTGCGATTTCCCAAAAAATCTTTATTTAGTTCCAAGCACTTCCAACTCAGTCGGGATTGTGGAGAAAAATGCATCTATAATAATCATAATCATAATAGAAATAATAATGGCCATGCATGAATTTCCACGTTTATGACCAAAATACTCATTTATAGCTATGCATCATTGATAAAAATCAGTTGGTGCTGATTTTCAACTTAGTGGTAATTACTATAACCCCAAAACTTGTAAGTTTTCGATTACTATCTATATACTATATACGCTACTTTTCAATCACTAGACAGTGATCAAAGATCAAGAAGCTGGACAAACTCTTCGCCATTGCAAACAATCGGTCAACATGCATGGGAAATTTCAGACAAATATTGGCCTCCATCAGGGGGTGTTATACAGGAATTCTAAACTTTAAGCATGATTTATGCTTCAGCGAAATATTATAGAACCTCAATTCAAGCATCATGTCAAATAGGTCTCTTTGATACAGTGTTAATCTTCTGCTCTTTATCACTTACTGAACAGAGAATTAAGGCCAAAATTAAAATCCTAACTAATTTTCGCATTGCTATTCGCAATATTAATAGCCAATGAAATTGCATGAGCTGAACAGCTGGGGGGGGGGGGGTTGAGAGATTTAACGAAGCAAATTCCACGGGAAACATTCCTCACTTTTGCCGGATTTACTCTCAGTTTTGATATTTAAATTTATTCACTACTCAAATGAGTAACATTATTATTTTGAGAAGCCGCTAACTTACAAAATCAAATACCATCACCTCTAAAGCTTTTCTAGAGAAATCCATAACAAGGACTATTGAATAAGATTAGCAATAAATTCATAAATAAAACACCCCCCCTTCACAAATAAACATTGTGGTAGTTAAATAGAACAAAGCATCATTTTACAAATGGCGAAGGTTGCTGATACTGTAAAACATTTCAATTCTGGAATAATTGAGTAAGTCATGTGTGTCATATTTTGTAATTTCAAGGAATACTATGATCCAACGAATTCTTATAATATATCCGAAATTTAGGAAAAGGAAATAATTAAATTTTCAGATTTTAAATGTGTACCCATTCAAAGTTGAGGTAATTAGGTCCGTAATAATTGAAAGGGCCTTTTGAAATTCCGAGTACTCAATGAAATAGTAAAGATAAGATGAAGTAACGTCCAGAACTATCATCCTGTTTGGTCGATTAAAAACCTCCAATCAGAAAAAAACGAGTTCGATGAACAAAAATTTATCGAATTCGCCTGCTTTTGGAGCCAAAAAAGAGACCGCTTCACATATCAGAAGAAAGGTCTCGATTGGGTCCAAAGAGATGTCACACATTCGCATTACTCAAAATTCATTAAAAAATTAATATACGGCTTGAATTTCGAAAAGAAGCGAAAAAGCTCGGATATCGATAGTAACATGCGCGCGCACACACACACCCCAATGAGTCAGCACTCCATCCACACAACCGACATTCCGATGCGCTATTTTTCCATTCACTTCAGAACTGAATATCAAATAACTTTCGTTACACAACGAAAACGGTTTAAACCAAACGAAATGCGATAAATTAAGCTCGTATCATCCACTACAAATCTTTCGACATTGAATTGAAAATAACTTTTGCTTATCGATATATTTATTTATTTAGTCGATAAATGGAGAAGACTGCAGAAAATAACTTTTAAAACAAGTAGAAAAATGGAGGAATAATGAGCCTTATTGGAGTAAAATTTCCACGATTTTCCAACCCGCCCTGTTGTCCTCACTCCAAATTACTTTTTCTTTGTTTTGGATCAATTGTTATAAACTTACGGAGCTCTGTTAGCCTAAAAAACTATCTGGTATATTTAGACTTCAAGCTGTGGAATACCTTTCAAGACCACTTAGCTTATCAGTCATTTGGGGGGGGGGGGGGAACTGAAGAGGTAAGATCAGCCCTTCCTAGCATTGAACATCGTGGAGAAACAATTTCCCCAATCCTAATATAATGAAGGTAGAATTTTGAAATCTGAACGGCCCATTTAGCAAATTTTATATAATCTGGACCCCGAAAATCAAATTTTTTAAGATCCCCTGACACCTCACGACATCTTCTTGATCTCTTCCCTCTTATTATTGACTGGACTTCCTGTTTATGGATTGTACTTCCAGGGGCCAAATCTCCTTACCTTGTCTCAGAATTTGAAATTCCAAAACTATGAATTCGATTATCCGTAGCTATCATTTCTACTGTTAATTGCATGATTAATAAGGCTGCATTTACCATCAATTCATCCACACAATGTTAAGGCCACAAAAACCGATCAAGATTGCACAAAGTCATTCAGCAAGTTGCAAGTCTACTATTATAATTAAACCATCGCCCAATAAACACTGGAAATGAAAATTTCCTTAGTAATCAATACGAAGAATTATATAATTCAAACGTTGGGCTAGTAGGAAATTTTGCAAACAAATTGCAAATTCAAAACCAAAACTTGAATGGAATAAGGCCCTCCGGTACTTCGATTTTACTTCCAACACTTATTCAATCCCTCCTATTTGGCATTTATTGAGTCCACTTTTAACCGAATTTTGTTAGGCCCTCATGATAAAAAAATGATCTCTTTTTCTGTCTTGTTGTGAGATACAATAATGAAATATCAACTCCAAAACATACCTCATCTGAGGTGTTAACGAGTTTCACACATTTTCCGAGTTCACCCTGATCAGCGGCAAACTCGATGTTGCTAGTTGAGTTGGTGGCGACTCGATAAGTGACTCGAGGGAAGCGACCCTCTCCACCGCTGATAAGAGAACTTGTGGAAGTAGAGTGAATACCATCGTCATCTTCCTCTTCAATGACTGCCGAAGTTGGACGTCGGCGTTTGGAACCTGTGGATGGTCCTCGAAGCGATGTTGAAATGTTGAGACTAAAGGTAGAAACAAATTAAGTTTCATTCCATATTTGAATCAACGAAATATGAGGCGAAAGTGCGCCTCTGCAGAGCATCTAATAAGTAGAAACTTCCCAAAAGCATCAACACGAGCGTTCAAAACACTTCGCTTGTGTAGAAAAAGGTATACTGGAATGGCCCTTGCTAAAAACACAATTTACTGCTTCTCCTCTTAATTAGGTGGTTCGCCCATACCAACGTTCATCTTGACCAACGCACTTCTGACAGAGATTTTACTTAGTCTGTTCACTTTTGCAAGCGGTGAATAGGCATTGTGAACAGGCAGGTCAATATATTTCTTTAATCATTTTCTTTTAGTTTGGGACAATGCTAGGAAATCTTGAATCACCTCGAGTTGAATGCAAAGACAACTTCTCACTCTTCAAGAGTAGCTGCTTTAAGTCATGCTTGTAAAGTATAACTGGCCCTAAAAAAATATGCTGCTTATTATATATATATACATCTTCAAGATTCTGGTTACTTTCCACGAAAAACAACTTAAATAGAAAATAATCGAGTAAGACTAGCATAACTCGAGGAGCAGAGGATGAACAGAAGAAGAGACATGAATAGCACTTACTTGGATCTCCCCATCCCCCCCCCCTCCACTTCAAGGATTCCCTAGTGAATTTTTTCCCATCTTTACTCGTCAAAACGACTAGCATTAATGCTAGACTGCGTCCTTCGCTTGGGGACTTTTCAGAAATCGAAACAAATTATCCAGAAAGATTTTCGTCCAATTCACTCTCGAAAATAATTGTCAGTGGTGCGTAGTAAACATAACAATGTAGAAGTCGAAAAAAAGTATTAGAAATGCCATGTCTCTAGCTTCGTTACCTGCTAGCACTTTTCTTTTGGCTAATAAATTTTAACCACTTTAATGAGTGGGCACAACTGAGAGTCCAGGTGAAATCATTTTAGAGAAGGAAAATGGGAAAATTCCCTGTGAAGCAGAATGCTATCTCGACCAGGCATATTTAGATCTTAGCTATTTAAAGCAAAACGATTAAAACACGAGCTAACTTGATAAACACGTGATCAAATTTCATCTATATATCTCAATCCAAGGGGGGAGCTAACATAATATCATATTCACTACAAACAAGCCATCCCAAATAGATTTGGGAATTGGATTTGCGTCAGGCGGTATTATTAGGAAACACCCACACATCTCCAAATTCTTCTTCTCCTTCCAAGGGAAACAAAAAACGACTCAAAAATCGCAAGATTGAAAATATTGCAAAACTGCAAGGCTTAGTGCGCCAAAATCGAATTCTTCGCACTCATCTACAACCAAATTGCAGTCAAACTGAGCATCTTAAATGAGGCGAAACGAAATTTCGAAGAGAGAGGAGGGGGGGGGGAGACATCAGTCCCACCTCAAAGTCTGGAGCAATTATAGCATTTAATGGCATAAGAAATCGAAACTCCAAAAAGTGCTGTTCAAAATTTATGGTGAAAATTGTCAAATATGTGTACAGGTAGATCACACTTTTTGTCCACCTCTAAGCAAGCTGCTGGATATCATACAAAATTCCGTTTGCGTTCCAACTACTTGAAGCAAAAATACCGGTCAGCCAGGAAAGAAACGTGAAATATAAATTTTCGAAAGCGAATTACACAATTTGCATATATTGGACAATCCAAGACTGGGAGTCAACTTAAGAAGGGATACTTAGCATCTTATCATTTCATCAATCCTTCCTTTTTCACTTGTTAAACTTTCCATTATTCGATTTCAGTTTCTTTCCATAATTAATATTTGTTTTTGTTTTGCATCAATGCAGGCAATTAAAGTTCAAGCATTCAAGTAATTGCATTGGTACCTTCACTTCACCAAACGTATGGACCTGCGTTTTGGTGTAGTACTATCTTGTTAAACTAGAAATGCTATTTATTTGTAGCCAGTTAACCGCACTCTCACAATTCGAATGCGCTGGAAAGTACGGCGTAGAAGAAAACACGACAACATCCTCTCTATCGATGCTCGTTTTCATTAGTCATCGTCGATGAGTCAACAACGGAGACAACAAAGCAAAAATGACCATTCACTGCGGTCCCGGCAGAGGACAGTGGCGGTTAGAGAGAGACCTTAAGACCAAAATTCGCTTTCATTGACGACTTAAAGCACATTGTCTGGCCTCGGAAATAAGGGGCGTGAACCGAGTACTTTGTGCAATAATCATGATTAAACAAGCATAGCACCTGAATAAGAGTTTCACTAACGACACGCAGTTAGCTTGGCATGCAAATACTTTGGAATTGACTTGTAAGTCATCTAGCAACTTTAAACCATAATTAAAGAAGTTTGTTAAGAGGAGCATGACTTTGGAAAATTTGTACATTTCTTGCCATTTGCAAAAAGAAAATTTACTTCGAACACTCGAGAAGTTTATACGAATGATATAGAACGAAGAAATATATAAAGGGAAAAAATTTCTTAAAATTCTAAATCCATGGTAATAATAATACTAATGATAAGTGAAAAGTTTTTTTTAAAAAAATTAAAGCAAATCCTAATTTGAAAACAAGTTCGAATGCATTATTTTATAGCAAATTAATTTCAACAGAAAAACACTTAATACAAGTATGATTGATTGATGATTCGTCTTAATGAAGAAAAGTTAATGTGAATAATTAATTTTATGATATTTCCAGTTCAGTCACCCTGATTAATCTTTGTGGAACTCACAGTGTTATCAAAACTTACCCAATCAATCCTATGCGCTCTTGGGCATTCTGGAAAGTGTTGCCATATGTACAAAACCTTTCGGCCAATCAGTAATCGAGATTATGCAACGTAGCACTAAATGGCTTACATTTATTGTCTAAATATGTTTGAAATTTGTTACCCATGTATACAAAAAATGATTTTCACGCCTTTTTGTGCACAGAGGCGAGCTAATATTGGGAGAAAAATTATAGAGGCTAGTCGTTCTAGACTTCTAAGAGGATTACCAAGTTTTAGCAAAAAAAAATTTATACAGGAACCGTTACATTTGTGTCTATAGAGGGACACATTAATGGCATTTTCTGAACAGGTAGTTCAAAATAAAATGAGTTGAAAGTTTACGATAAACATTTTAACAAATTTCTTGCAATCAAAGAGGACACCGCTCGTCAAATTTAACTGGAAGCCAACAGCACAGGTTCAACAAGAATGGACAGGAATAACACACGAGCATAAAAAAGCACTCCAATTTATTATCTGCGTATTTAATGACCCAATGTGTGGCTAATATAATTTCATCAAATCCAACTTAATTGCGACAGCAAGGCGACGTGCGTTTCCAGGTATGGCAATTAAACCCAGACACAGTCGTATTACACTGGGTCATTTGGTTTCAAACGCCCCTGAACTGCCCCAAGTATAGGCTCTTGCTTTTCCCCGTGACTTTTGCAGCAACGTAAGGACAAATAAGTGCGAATAACATGAGCAAGCGTTAACCGAACCGCGTCTACTCACACGTCTAGATGTTATTAATAACCCGGCCACTTGATCGGGCTACAAACTTCACTAAGTTTAAAATTTGGCATGTGCCAAACTATTGGCAAAAAAATTGGACCATCAAAGTTGGCAATGGTGGATACGCCCTGTGAAAAGAACAGCAAATTAATGCCCTAAATTAAAAATGTTCTGCTCCCCATATATGAACAGAAGGATAGTTAAAACTAGCTTAGCTCAATTCCACTTTTTCAAGAAAGGCGAGAGATGTTTTTCTTATGAGGGCCAATGAAACACATGATGTTGGGTCTTGCTGTTCTATGAAATCGAATCACAACTTCATGTCTGCTTCTTCAGACTTATAGAAAAAAGAAGTACACTCAAATGAAATTAAGCAACATTGCACAATAGCCAATGAGGTTGAAATAAAAATCTCGAGAGACGATCACGCCAAAGTTCCCGCTTTAGTGCCCAATGAGAAACTGGGCCAATGAATTAAAGTGCAACCAAGATAAGAACTACCTACAAATATTTATGTGCCTGAGTTACAAAGATCTTGGGGACATAATTTAGGTTTCGTAAGTAAAAATAACAAGATAGGGGTTTTATCAAGTGTGATGAGATACTTAGCATGATAAGTAGAGTAATTAGAGATCATCCTATAAAGGTTAAGACGGGGTGTGCAATAGACTTACCTCCACGTGGTGCACTCTGGGCAACGTAAACTCATACGGCAAAACAAGTCTATTAACCGGCAGTTGACTTCTGACTTCAAACTACAATGGCCCAACTGTATGCCATATTCTACCACTTCCACAGTACTCATCCTACCTCTTCTCTGCCTTTGTGTCTGTCTCTTTTACATCTGCAAATCGTTCTTCTGTTCCCCACCCCTCGACTTTCTGTTACTTTGATGTTCCTTCCTCTACGAAGCCTAAAGTCAGCTAAAGAGCTAATAATAACTATCAAAACGCCTGCCATTTGAAATGAATAACTAAGACTGTCAGCCGCAGAAAATCATGTAAAAAAACATTGATTTCTGAGCTATGCAAGAACAATGATTTGAAGTGGCAGGACCGATCACCGATCAATAAGAGGTGAAATATCGTAGACAATCTGGAGGCAGGATTTTTAAATTTTAGTTTTTCTTTGACACTACCTCTCCCTTATCGCTTATTGACCTTTCTGTTAATCGATTCCTCTTGTTTCTAACATTTAAACTAACAAAATATTTTATGCTACATTCACTAATACTTGGAATTTCAAATGCTCATTCAAAACTTTGGGCCCTAAAACTGATGAATTAGAACTCAGCAATTGAACAGAAAAGCTACACAAAGGAAGGAAAAAAGAGAAAAAATTACATCAATTTTTTAATAAATTTGCTTAAATCTTTTAGAAATGAATTATATAAAAATTATTTAAATGAAATCTATAAGAGAAGAAAAGAATGAAGTTTTCGATGAGTCATCTCGTTCATTTTTTCCATTTTATCTAAACTCAGGCAATTATCTGCGAGACTACAACAGAAACAAGATGTGATTCTGAAAAATATTAGAACGATCAAACATCTGTTAAAACCGTTAGGAGATTTCAAGACATATCTCAATAGTACTAACCGAGATTCCTCGCCTTCAAGCATTTTTCGGTACATAAGAATTTCCTGATCCAATGCGACTTTAGTATTCATCAGATCAGTAAACTCGGAAAAGCGGATTTCCAATTCACGTTGAAGACGTGCAAGTTCATCTCGCTGTGCAGCTAAACTTCTTTCATAATCCTCACGCTCCTGTCGGCGTAGACGTTCCAATTCATCAACTCGGCGTTTGAGGAGTTCCAATTCAGCATCCTTCTTCTTTAACTCATGCTCAGCATCATCGGTACGTTTGCGATAAATCAGAAGTTGGTCTCGAAGACGGCTAGTTTCTTTGGAAGCGTCTGTATTGGCGGCGCGGAGTTGGTTTAACTTGTTCTAGTGGAAAAGACGTAAACGCATTCAAGAGAAACCGAATTAATAGTCAAGTATCATAACGTAATTATGTCTTTAAGAATTAAGCTATAATTAAAACAAATCGTAAACAGAGAAAACGTTATTTAATTGCGGTCCTAAAGAAACGAAATATTTTAAATGCGGTATAAATTCTGCTGAGGAGTGTTTTACTACAACTCGTATCAAAGTAGTATCATCTTAGGCTTGACACAATTCGATAAGAGGGTATGATTAGGAAGAATCGTCAGTCGTTGGACTGTTCAAGAAAATGGCAAGTTATGTGCATGTTGTGAAATTGGGAAAACAGTCGACGGAGCGTCATTACATCCGTACGCACAGTTTGGTCGCCATGACAACCCAAAGTTACAGATGCCATAATGGGAAGTCTCGAACAGTTCAAGAAATCGCATATAGTTGACAGTCTTCAGTTCGCACTTAAAATGAAATCCCTGGTTTCCTATTCATTGTCAATTGATAAATCACTAAATTAATTAACCCTAAATATGAAGAATCGAATGGATATTCATTCTGTAGAATAAGTTTGCTACACCCTTGAGTGTTTGACGTCTATTCATCTTCTCCCACAAATTGAAAAAGAAAAAGTTAAAAAAGGTACTAAATTATGGTGTAAGTAGCCTTTGATATAGATCCAGAATTGACTGCAGAAACTGGTGTGCTAGCCAAATTGCTCGAGCAAAATCAGGAAAAATGGGAAAGGAAGTAACAACCAATTGACAATGTTAAAGTCAGAGACTAAAAACATGAATTAATGAAAGTAAAAAGTTACTAAAAACAGTAAATAAGGGAACAAGTGTACTCAAGCCCATGTCAATTAAGAAGAAAAGGAGATAAGCATTCTACTCAGAGAAATGATGAAAATTTGATTATTGCTATTTCAAGATCGATAACATAGATTCAAATCTCGCGAAAAATCTACTCTCATCTCTAATTACATATTCCAATGAAAAGAAGAACACGCGTAGGTGGAATATAACCAATAGGAGTCAAAGTGTTGACGACAAAATTCAATTAAATTGTTTTCAAATATTATTATTATTATTGAAATTACAAAATATTATTTGAGTATTTCCCTTTAAAGATCGGGACTAATCAAGGCATTCCAAGAAATAGGGCGCAGTGTCTTAGTCGCTGATACATCTATTCGGGCAAAACGACGTATAACTCCGTGTTACAAATGATTAAGCACTAAATTAAATGGGCATCAAATATATCTGATCAGGATAATTGAGCATGTGTGGTATTTTCCTACATTCTGGAAAGTACAGTATATTATCCAGTTATTTTCATGATGCTTTATGCACTTTTGAACGTCTACTCTAAATGAAACTTCGAGCTCCTTCGCATTAAAAGGAAAGTCATAGAACTTACCTCAAATGTATGTTCCATCTCAATCTTATAAGTTAGCAAATCCTCAGCCGTTTGATCACGATAAGACTGCAGTTGGTCATAGAGTTTTGATTCATATTCGGCAGCTTTCCTATCCTCAATCTCACTCTCCACCATGATAGTTTTTTCAATAATCTTCGCTCTCTCCTCATCTAACAATCGATTCTTGAATTTTAGTTCCTCTTTCAATCCCGCAACTTTATTCTCGAGATCACTGCGGTGAACAGTCTCAGCATCAAGGTCTCGTCGAAGATCAGTGCATTTCTTCTCTAGAGCATCATATTCCGGCTTAAGGGCCTCATAACGATCATGATCATGCTTGTAGGCGGAAATATCGCGTTCTAGGGCCTCAACACGTCGTTGAAGGTTGCGGGCATCCAATTCGCGTTTAGCGAGTTTAGATTGAGCCGTCTTGGCATCATCTTTAAGTTTCTCGGCCTCAACATCTGCAGCGGCTTTTTGCTTGGCAAGGTCATCAACAAGTCTTCTTAAGGAAGCGATCTCTGACTCATATGTGTTACGCGAATCGTCATGCTTGCTCTATTACAAAGCACATCAAATTTACCAAGAATGGTAATTGTTAAAAGGACAATAAATATTAAGGGAATAACTTACCATCCGCTCTTCAGTAAATGTCCTTATTTTGCGTTTGAGACTATCCTTATCAGCCTCGAGTTTGCGAACGTAGTCGATATAGGATGCGAGACGGTCATTCAGTTCTGCTAACTCTTCCTTTTCTTCGGTACGAGATATGTTGAGGGGACTAACTGATCTTTGTCGATGACCTTCGGCGGACGAAGAAGCAGATGTAGCGGTGACATTAGTTCGTCGTGAAGTCGTCGCGGTGGTTTCTGAGGCTTGAGTAGGTCTCTTACTTCGTGATGACATTTTTGCTGAAGTAGAATACAACTTCCAAAGTAAATTATAAAAATTTAAACTTTTCACAGTGTAGAAATAATAATATGTAAAACTATTTATACATTGTTGCAGCAATATAAATGCCATAATAATAGAATTGGATGTCTTTTTATAAAACAAGCATTAAGATTAATTATTTTATGCAATAAAATAACTATGTACATGAAACAGTAACGATTCAACGACACAAGCGAAACTCAATGAAAGACTGCCTTTAAAGTTAGCAGAGTTTTAAAGGTCATATTAATTTATTTAAATAAGTATCTGTACATAAAATTGAGGCATAATAGTATTAAAATACAACTTTCATCACTGAAAGTACTTGCCTATGTGGAAATTAATTTTTCTATACAAAGGTCCTCGGAATTTAGGGAATATGAATGGGAGTTGGACTTTAAGTACCATAGAGTAAGTTAGTATTCTATGCTAATTACCAAGTTAAGGCTTGACAATTCATTACCCTGTAACAATTGAGGACTTTTAATACTTTAAATGAGCCCTTTCATTTGTGTTTTTTTGTCCTTGGAGAAATCGGTTTATGATTTTTAAATACAGAATTGCTAATACACGTGGACTTGAATCTTCCGATTGGAAATTGCCATCTTGCTTTTCCTCCAGTTGATTATATTTAAGATTTTGTCTACTTTAAAATATTAAACTCATTTGAGTTCTTTTTGCCGGATATAAAACCCTACTACAAGTACAAAAGGATATGACTTGAAATAGAAGATCTACTTTAGTATTTTAATGTTTAACTGAGCTTGAAATATAAGGGCAGCATTCGAGGTCAAAAATGTCCTTATATGTATTCCCTTTTCGATGTCTATTCCTGTGGTATTTTTTCCCTTCTATTTACTTACTTTCCCCTCTGTTTAAAGATGCTACACCGCTTGGCCACAGCTCCATTTCATCACTACAGCCTTCAGAAAAAATGAACCAGCCCAATTTTAGACCTTTCGCTCTTTCACTTTTACCAATATACTTAATTTTCATTACTCTTTGCCCGTCTTATTGTGGCAGCGAATATAGGCAAAAACTAGATCTAAGTTTCAAGACCAAAGCCTTATGCTTTGGTATTCTTACTCCCAAAAATTCGGAGACCCAGATCAATCATAGGCTCTTGTCTCTCCGGATGCTGCAAAAAAGATCCAACTTTCAAACGCATAGGGGACGCATTTTAGTAGGATAGCCTTTGTGCAAGTAGAATTACCAAAATCCGAATTTCTCTTTAAATATGCACGACAGCGGGTTCGCTGCTTCTTATAATTTTAGGCCAAAGCCTATCCGGGATCAGTGGTTATTTTGGAGTTATTCTACAGTTAATCAATGATCTATTGTAGTGGGTAATATGCAAGTTCATTTGGTGAAGTGCTCACAAAACGCCATTTGACTAGTGATGCATCCTGCCACTCACATTCTATAATCCCATATGCCGGTCCAGTTGGCGATATTCGACTTAACAGACGTTCACGTTGACATCTACGAAAACGGGGTGACATCGTTAGCCGCTGGTTACACTTTATATTATAAGACAAACAAGAATCTTTCCATATACTCGGGCCTTGAGAATGATAAAAACCGTACCATCAGTTTCCAACGCTACATTGGCTAAAACAAGAGCAACCCGGAGTACGAACATCAAGCACCCGCCTTATTATCCTTTTCTTCGCCACTTGCAACTATCCATATCGTTGGCAAGACCTATTCATTCCCAAACTTGGACTTTATGACTTCCCCTCGACAAAAGCCACCAATACTTAGAATAAAAACAACAATATTTATCCGCAAGAAAAAACTCCAAGATCGAAGGCAATGCATTTACCACAAGCATATCAATCGAATTAGAAAGTGGGCAGACATGTGGGGTAACGAGGAAGAAAGGTTTACACAAAGATTGCTGCCTTACACACAAAAAATTCAAACCTACAATAAGCGGTTAAGTGCAAAAACTTATGTACGCAATGTTCATCAAACGGTAAATAAATTAAAAGAAGGCGAAGGCAGAGAGAGGGAGAGAGATTTAGCACATCGTAAATGCATTGTGGGGTACAATTAAAGTGGGTGAAACAAAACGCAGATTGTTAGTCGATGCGAAAACTTGGAAAAAGGTACTAAGTCTTAACAATATCGGCTTCAATCGCACATCAGTTTACATCAGCGAACATTTCTACAAATCGTAAAACAAAGGTGAATCATAATCCGAAATTAAAATCGTACCATAACAAGTAAGCAATTAAAAACCAACTTCTTCGCCTCTTGCCGCGCCAGCTCGAAAACGCCTTGGAATAAGTTTCGGACGGGATTCACGAACAATCAAGCAGGAGGCCTGTTCCTCCTCATTTTCATTCGTAAGTGTCACGGTAGTGTTGGCGCCAGCATGGAAACGTTGATTTTTCATTACAATGTCTTCTGGAGGGTTGTGAGTAGCGCCTGCATCGACGCTCCAAACCTAGGCACAAAAATAAAGATAATCAATCTGATCAACACAAAGAGAAAAAACCCAAATCTCGAATGACAGTTTTCCCCACCTATTAAGAAAGCATAACTTTTGGTTGATTAAATAGTACCATAACAATGAGGAAACTTGATTGAAGACACGAACAAAGAAGTACAGCAAACCAAAGATGTAATGGATTGTTCGTAGTGCATAGTTTTTTAAAAATTATTCAATTCTAATAAATTGTCTGAACTACGTATATCAAATACACTCGAACACTCCGCTTCATATACGACACATAAAATTTAAGCACCAGCTTGTCATGGTAGTGTAATGTATACAAACCGTATAAATAAACGAACAGACTAATTGACACACTTACAATGCAGGGAGTGCCGGGTTTGAGGGTAACATTTCGACCGAACTTGTAAGTCACTTCCTCACCATCAGACTTATGTCTAAGTACCCAGTTCCCAATGTTGATGTCCTATAAACAGAAACTAACAATAAAACCAAAGGTATAGATAAGTCAAAACCTAGGTAAATAGATCCCCACCTCCTTTCCAACATTGCTCAGCTTGATCCAGTTTCCGGAACTATCTTGATCGGCAGAGAATTCAATTGAGCCTACAGCGGAAGTTGAGACACGAATGGCAGTCTGGCTGCCATTTGAATTCGATTCTTCATCAAAACCATCACCCGAATCCAGTCGTCTCTTTTTGACACCCATAAAAGCACCGCCAAAGGCACTGTGGCGTTTGGGAGAAGTGAGATTCAAGCTTGGAAGAAAAAAACAAAAGTATAACAGCAGAATGAAAGCAACAAACACCTCAGTGTGACAATACAGACGGGCATACAAATTCTATTGTTTAAGTTTATGAATAGTACACAAATATTATTGAACTTTCACATAAGAAGGCTTTACAGGTAGCCGAATAGCCAAGTTTAAATAAGGACTGGTGATCATAGTACCCATGAGAACCAGAAGTGTAGCGTAAAATATTTGTTTACTTTCCAAGAATAAATATTAAGTCGGGGGTTCCAACTCTGCAACTCAGCTTTAGCCAAAATAGGGGTTTTCATGGAAATCCGAATCACTAAAGTAAAATCGATAGGCTCTTTAAAACTGAAGGGTCAATAAATCATTTGATTACAACATTCCTGGCATTTTTCTCTGGATATGCCAACTTATGAAGTCTAAATTAGGGGATAAAGGAACATAAGTGAACTAAAAAATTCATTGTACTACTTTGATTTGAAATATAATGACTCAATGAAACAACTAGTCACTCTTAGACGTTAATTTATATTATACTCTACAATCACAACGATCCTGAGTCAAGTGAACGGGAAACTCTTAAAATTGGAATTCTCCAATTTTGTACTTCTGAAGGTTGTTAATTGATATATGTAATCGTAAAATCTAGACATTAAGGAATTCTTGTACCTCATCTAAATGCTTAAACACAACCTATTGAAAATGGATGACAATTCTCCAGGATATACAAATTGATATGATTTAAAAATCATTTCTGAAACTTTCGCTAAATCCATACACTTTTACTCTTAGCATAGTTATTAGGTCAGTATACTACGGTGAGCGTGCTCTTGAACATTTTATTGGACTACAATGGTAATCTAAGTCTAGCAACTGATGAGAATTTCAAGATACAAATTGAATGAGCCGTGTCAGTAAGAGCGTAACAGGTACAAACCAGAAAGAACAATACCAATAACTATGACCACTACCTGTTAATACCTGCACCTATGAGCTTACGTCAAGTAACAAAGTCAAAGAATGGTGATATATGAGGGAGACAGATGAGTCATAAAAACATGTGTGTACGTATTCTTTGCATGCAAGATACCTAGTAGTCATAAATTAGCGCACACATGTAGCAGAAGTATGGAGAGGAATGCGGTAGACGGACATCTATATAGGAAAGAAGTACTCCACATGCCATGCTTATGTAGACCCACATTAGTTAATGCAAACTAGTATTTCAAATGCAGATGTCTAAGAGAAAACTTACAATATTTAACAATTCAAAGTCAGAAAAGATAGCTTGATAAATGTTGAGAAATAGCATTAAAATTAGAGAAAAGCCTCTCAGATTCATAAATTACATATTAACCAGGCCATCTATAAAAATAACAAATCTCTAGTCACTCGAAACTTACCGAGACTCTTCACCTTCGAGCATTTTGCGGTACATGAGAATTTCTTGATCGAGAACAATTTTCGTGTTCATCAAATCAGTAAACTCAGCAAAACGTTGCTCTAACTCTGCTCTGAGTCGTTTGACCTCTTCCCTTTCAGCAGCTAATTGAGCTTGATAATCGTCATGGGCTTTGTTAAGGAGTTTTTCCAGATCTGCGATACGACTATGCAGCAACTCCACCTCACGGGACTTTCTAGCCAACTCGTGTGAAAGGTCGTCATTCATGCGACGCATTGTAATCAGCTCCTCATTTAGACGCCCGCCATCTCTATTAGCTTCTTCGTTTGCCTTTTGCAACTGTTCCAATTTTTTCTAAAAGAGTAAAAATATACAATATTAGCAATACAGGCAAATAGAACAACCCATCAAAAAATGCTGTACCCTAACAGGATAACACTAATTTAACCCCTTGTTATTTCTGTCACCTTCTCAGGTCCCTTCACGGTACTATTTACTGAACGCAGCGTTAATTGATCTGGTAAGGGTTCTGCGATAGGACGTTTTTACACTTAAAACACAGATAAGGATCTTAAAACTCGATGATAACGGTAAAATTTTACTGGCACATATGGAGCAAAGTAAATTGCCAGATTGATAACGTAAACCAATAATATAAATAGTAAATGTAGTCTTAAATCGTGGATGGCAAAATTACAACCAGATCCCTAAACGCATATAATTGAAGACACATAAAACAGGGCTTAAAACGAGCAATCTTTAACCCGCGCAATCATGTGTTTTTACACATAAAATCATGAATGTTTACCTGGAAAGTAGATTCCATTTGAATACGATACTGCTCAAGTTCCTCATTTGCACTCTCCCGGTAAGCTTGCAATTCGTCAGCAAGTCGAGATTCAAATTCCTTGGCTTTAGTCTCTGCTACCTCTTCTTCCACTGTCAGCGAACGCATAACAAGTTTGGATCTCTCCTCTTGGAAAAGACGGTCTTTGAAATCCAATTCCTCACGAAGTGAAGCAACTTTATTCTCCAAATCAGTGCGAAGGATGGTCTCAGCTTTCAGACCTTCCTTAGCTGCTTCTAAATTCTTCTCAAGGTGCTCAAACTCCGGCAAGAGCTTCTGATAACGTTCATGATCAGCCTTGTAAGTTCCAATATCACGTTCAAGAGCGTCATATTTGCGTTGCAAATTACGTAACTCAGCGTCGCGTTTGTTCAGTTTTGATTTAGCATCTGAAGCATCATCCATATGTTTTTTCAACTCAACGTCACGAGCAGCCTTATCTTTGGCAAGATCGTCAACCAGGCGACGAAGGGATTGGATTTCGTTCTCATAAGTGCTGCGAGCACTGTCAACTTTAGCCAGACGTTCTTCGGTGATAGTCGAAATACGACGAGTGAGACTTTCTTTGTCGCGTTCCAATTTGCGCACATAGTCGATATAAGAGGCAAGACGATCGTTAAGATGAGCTAGCTCCTCTTTCTCGTCAACTCTTGAGATGTTAAGTGGGCTTGGAGAGCGATATTCTGTATCGTTGGATTGTACAGGGTTGTTTATTGCGGTGGATGAAGTGCTTGAACGTTCAATCTTTTTAGGGGTTGCCAACTTTTCGGCAACTTGTTGAGTCTGCTTTGACTTCTTTATACGAGCAGACATATTCCAACAATGTGTTAAATAATAACCTAATCAAAATGAAACAAAAAAAATAAGTTTATAACTAAGTAGCAAAATACAACCTAAGCATACATATAACAACACAATGGGCCTATGTATTCTCCAAAGGGGTGCAAAAGTAAATAATATAAATACTTAGTATAAAATCGAACAGAATCAATTTATCATATAATTATAAATCAATAAAACTTCAAAATCACGCTACCAAAGAAAACAGGGACTATTCAAACGGTCAAAATTGTTTAAGTTGCCTCAGATCAGGATATCATTCTATTAATGACTATCAAATACTCATAAATATAAGTTAATAAAAAGCTACTTTAATTTCCATGATTTAGTTACAATAAATGCATTTTTATATGCATTTAACAATTACAATTATTAAAGTAATAGACAACGCATGAAGTTCAGGAATAGAAACACCCTTATTTCGTTTTATTTTCTTCTTATTTATGTTTCAATATAGATTGAATTGCGAAATATCCTTTAATTAATCCAGAGTATGAAAATGTGGAATTTTGTTATGGCCTATGAAGTGTTTAAATTATTATTAACCAAATCGTCTCAATATATTATACTTCATTCATCCACTCTTGTAAATTACTTCAAATTATAAATTGATGTAAACGCGTTTACTTGGGGTATTAATTCAATTAAAGCACATAAGTTTGCTATATGTCCACCTCGATTAACAAATATTGCTGTTGTTAAAATAGCAAGATGCAAGCGTTTCTAACCTGCGTATGATTGATTTATTATACAAAAGTGTATTAAAACCCAAAAGTTAGGGTGAGCTTGGAGAATAAACTATTTCGAACACATAAAGATTTCATTAATTTATGAACAGAAACTTGACTTAAGCCTCCCCAAGTCAGATAGGTTTATTGGTATTAAACAAAGCAGAATTTTAGTGATTTGGTGCTTAGAGAGCACAGTTCTTAGTTGATCTTTTCTATTATTTATTACGTTGAGATGTATTTTCAATATGTTCGTCACGAGTTTTAATTTGTATAGTTGACGAAATCTATCCTACAGGACTAAGACCCTATTGGCCTACCATTAAGCGGATGAAACGAAATTATCGGGTTTCTTTTTCCATTTTCCTAAATGTGTAATAAATCCCATAGCGAATTCTATTCTAAGTTGGACAACTGGGTTAAACAGGAGAAAACTCGCATTACAGTATGTCAATCAGTTCTCAATAAAGCCTTTGAAACTTCTTGTCAATCAGTAGCAGATTTAAGATTACGGAACTTGCAAAGCATTAATACTGCATCAATTGAGATCAGCAGAACTTCTCTTGGAAGATTAACGCACAGACAAAATGGACAAAATCAAATGAGATGTGATTTGCTTTTTTAATTACTCTAACACAATAACTATTTTGAATGCATTTATATAGATATTTTTGTTGCAGATTCAAGATTTCGCCTCCCAAGTATCAAGCAACGTTTCCTTGCAGAAATCGCTGACCTAATTGTTATCTTTGCTATTAAGGTTCTAATGATTTACTTATTGGTTGACGTTGAGAACTTTAAGTGAGTATTTAACTATCCCTCTTAATATTAGACTTAGTGCATTTCTCTATTCACTTCCTCTGGAACTTGTTGATTTACTTCCTGGTTATCGCTTCGCTAATCGATTAATCTCTCTTCCTTACGCATATTATGATGCTCTTCAACAAGGTGGAAAGTTTGATTTCGAACGTTTTCATAAAGAGGTTATGTTCGGCAACCGATTTGAATCTGCGGGACTTTCTTATTTGATCAGCTCAGTCCTTTGGGTTATATTCGAGGTATTTTCCACTTATGCATTGAGCGACTTTTTCAGATATACCTTGTCAGCAAACCTGTGTTCGATTTTGGTCCGGGAGGCTGCTCATTTGGAAAATATCTACTAAATCTCAGAATTCTTTCCTACAATCATCGGGTGAATCTGCCTGGTGCTGTGGATTTAAATCCCGCCGCTAATCCTGGAGTGTTTAGGTACGTTCTTTTCTCTATCAATTATTGCTCTTTGTAGGGCCATGGTTAGAGCGGCGCTCAAAAATACGGGCATATCGATATGGTCACCACTTCTGCAAATTGTTTTTAATGACGATCCTGTGTGGTGTTATGATGTCTTGGCTGGAACAGTTGTTGTACAACTCCCTGAATTGGAGCTCCCAGAGTGATCTAGTCTCAACGACTTACTACCCTATTTCCCTTTATATGCTATGAAGTTCGTTTTTTATGCTTCATCGTCTTTTGCATTTTAAAACTATTTGGAAATCGGGTAATCCAGTCCTTAAGTGGGTTTTGATGAAAAGTCCTAGCAGTACTTAAGAACAAAATGTTGAAAAATTTATCTGAACAATACTTGGTCTGGCTCAGGCTGTCTGACAATCTGAAAAATTGGGTGGACATGTGGTCTTAATTATATCGCCGTTGAAGCCCAATCGGTTCATTCGGTCGCTGTAATGTGCACTCACTACTTATACCACTGCTTAGTTGTGCGTCAGTGAACTAAAGGAGGCCAAATTGGTTGACTCTTCTCTGTCTTCTCACTTGAGAAGAGCCACTGAATCTAATTATTAATTATATGAGGAGACGTTATGTCTACTGCGGTCTGTCGATCAAGTTAACTTTACTGTGATTAGCGATAGTTTATAACATAAGGCAACATATTTAATCGATCCATTGAGTAATTCGTTTATAATAATAGTGTTGCCTTGGTTTCTGAGCTCATATTTGAGTACTGGCCCGAATCTTATCTACCAGACCTTAAGTTTTGTAGTTCAGTTAAGTTGATACACTATTATTACAATTTGGTTGTTCTTCAACTGCATGCTTTTTGTGTCACGTATCTAGATGCTTCTAGAAATGGAATTTTACGCTCATGAAAAGTATTCCAAGGTAAAGCAGGTTTTTTTGAACAATGGGACTTTCAATGAATGACGGGAGTATTCAACCCTTTTCAAATATCTGAATGCAAATTAACTAGACTGGCAACTATGGCAGTAAATTTATCCGGGTTTGAATTTTGGAGCAGTCAGAAATCTAATTGTCAAATGCAGTTAAATATTATGGGCTTTTGATCTATAAGGTGGGGGGGGGNGGGGGGGGGGGGGGGGGGGGGTTATTTTACTATTAAGATTGTCAGTGAGTTTTGGTCTCTATGCATGAAATGCAAATACAGTCCAAGTTCAAGAAGTCAAAGGTATTCAACCAAACTGTCAGTGCGGAAACTAGAGAATGATGAAGATTGGAAGGTAAAATTTTTCTTGGGTGTTGGGGGGGGGGGNGGATTCTTTAATACTAGGAAACAAATCGAAAATGGGCATTGACGTTAATGAAATCATATGCCATAGACGAAAATAAAATTTATTGGCACGAACTTCTAATAGAAAACCTAGACAGAATAACACTAGCGTTGCAAACCACCGAGAAGTTGTTGCAAAAAATGTGGTGCGTGGTGGTTACAATGGATAATTAAATGCCTTGAGTCCACTTTGAAGAAAAGAACTACATGCACACCACAAAGGGCTTTTTTGTAAGCTTTTAAGCATAGTGCTACTGAAGAATTGGTAGCTGGGCCTGTCAGAAACTCACTAGCTTAAGCTTTGAGTAGGTCGATGAGAAGCAATAACCCCTAATTTTCTCATTCACACTGTTTACACTGGGGCGAGGGTAGGTGCCATTGTGACTTCTCACGTTGTACATTAGTGAATATCTTTTTTCAGCAGACTTCTAACGTAATAAAGAAATTGATGCCTTAGCTGTGTAAAAAAAAGAATCACTTTAATTATTTCAACGCTACAAATGTTGAAATATGAAAGTAATGCCTTTTTATGGTAAATAGGCAGATGGATAAAAAAGAACCTTCTGATATTTATCGATAAGCTTCAACATCCAATGTCACTTGGTTCGTAGCATTCCATTGACACCTCTTGAGTCACAATCAGTGTTCAGTTTTGAGTCTGAACTAAAATCTTCACTTTTTGATAGCTGTGAAGGTAAAGCCAGAATTGAAAGTGAACTGTATTAAACAAAATTTCGTTCATGTGTAGCCCATTTTCCTCCAGTTTCTACTGTGGATTTTCGTTTCGCTTCATAAACTACGAGCCGGCTTTTGGTTCTGCCATCTGAACGCTCTCTGATTTGTCCTTCCGACAGACTACCTTCTTATTTTTCTATTTCAGATCGGCGCATTTCTTCTTTTAATCTCTTTTAACACGCAACTAACACAACCGAGACTTAAATGGACAAGATTGGGAAAATGCGAATGGAAAGCAATCAGTTTGAGGTTTATAGGAGGGGGTGGGGTGGGGTGGGGTGGGGGTGGGGGGGGNTGGGGGGGGGGGGGGGGGGGGGGGGGGGGGGTGGTATCACAGATTCACAGGAAACTCCACAAGGGCATTTTCACACCATTCTTGTAGAGTAATGACATTGTCACATTTGATGTGAAATTCTTTTATTCATTATTCAGATACCTAATGTGATTTTTGACTGAGGAGTCGACAGTAGATATCAATTGGATACAGTTCTCTAAGACGATTCAAAAACAGCTTTCATTCGCAATGTTCCTTTGGAATGCTAGGAAGTTGATTTAACTTAGTGGTGTTTTTTTCATTACTTATTCTGTTTTCTACGCCGTCAAATTGTAGTTGTGGTCACCAGGGCTGATCTGCCTCAAACTCTTCTATGAAATCAGAGTACAATCAGAGGCTGTCCAAATGCAGTTTAACTACATGATCATTTTAGCCTATTCACACCACTGATCCTCCGTTTGTAGAGTAATTTGGGGAGGACGGTTCTATATTCGTTTACAAAAACTCTTTATTCACGTTTATTGTTTGAAAGTAAGCGGGGTGTGCGAAGACTTACCTCCACGTGGGGCACCCTGGGCAACGTATATTCATACGGCAAAAAGTCTATTAACCGGCAGTTGACTTCTGACTTCAAACTACCATCACCCCACTGTATGTCATATTCGACTACTTCCACAGTAATCACCTCTCCTTTTCTCTACCTTTGTGTCTATCTCTTTTACATCTTTGAAACACTCTTCTGTTCCCCCTCTCGAATTTTTCTCACTTTGAAGTACCTTCTCCTCTGTGAAGTCCGAAGTCAGATAAAGGGCCAATGATAACTATCAAAACGCCTGCCATTTGACTGTGTTTGAAAGTGGGCTGTTTTTCAACTTTTTCTTCCCATGACTCAAACCTCTATGTAGATAACTTAAGCTTTGCTCTATTGTCAAACAACCTGCGTATATATTCCAATCTCGTCATTGCTCAAGTGCGTCAATAGTAATCTATTTATTTCAAATGGCAGGTATTTTGATAGTTATCATTA